GTTTAGTGAAGTTTAGTCAATAGATAGAAATAAAGCCACGTGGGAATGGAACCTCCGTATTAAAAATGGAAAGATAGACGTATGTCAAAGGTACATTATCACAGCTGTGATTGTAAAAGGCTTGTGAATCAAATTTATAATTTAATTCACTTTAATAATCAATATGGTTCAAATTTTGTCTTAAATAAATATAATTTTTGTAATACATACAATTACTCTTTGTATCAAAGATTTATATTTGTAAGCGACTTTATTTCGTGGGAATAAATTGTTTTTATAAATAATTAAACATTTCTATCACTTTAAAATATTCAATTATTTCACGTGAATTAATAATGCTTAAGATCGATATAAATATTAATTATATTCATTATAGTTGGAGTTAATTTAATTTTTAAATCGTATATTGGTATTTAATACTTAAATTAACAGGCCGAATGCACAAATAATAAATAGATTTACAAAAATTCCCAATATTTTCATTTAACTAATGATTAATTAAATAAATTATAAATTAGTATATCTTTATGTATATATATATATATCAAGTTTTATACAAATGAACAATGATAAATAGTTAAATGAAAATCAAAATTAACCAGTGACATTTCTTGTATTACATTGTTTTATTGCTATACAATAGATCTCGGTATTTTTACATTTTCAATTGCATAGGTATTCGCGACTGTTCTCGAAATCCTGTTGAAACTATTCGAAGACTAATGATTGTTAATTATAATAATTTAATTCAATTTGTAATAGAATGTTCACAAGCTTTGATTTTTCAGTTACAGCAAACGGACCAATGTATTTATAATTTTTTTTCTTCTTATGTCTTTCCGTATATTTCTCTTGTTCAGATCCATACGTATAATTAATTTAAGATCTTACGTCATTAATTGTTTAATAATTACTTCTGCTTAGTTTGTTTCAATAAATATAGTAATCTCGTTTTTCCAGGAAAGTGAAATTGTTTTTGCTTTCTTTTTTTCTGTTTCGTGTTAATCCTCGAGTTAATTAATAATTGTTTACATTTAAATTTGTAAAGTTGTACACTCATAAACAATACACTTAACCATTCGTTATATTTACAAAACGAAACCTAGTTGCTAAGAATTTTTTATATATTTTCTATTTTTGCAGTCTTGTGCGTCACGTTAAATTCGAGGTAAATTTAATTAAATTTATTCCGCTTCTTTATCATAATCGGTTTGTAATGTTTGCCGAGATCCAATAATTTCTGCATTCCGACTAGAGCTCACCTTTGGAAATATTAAAATTCAATCGATAACTTATTATTGAATTTTACCATTCATTTACATTGCATTTATATGTAAAATTATTCGATTCTTCAAGTATCTAATTAAATAAAATCTATTCTGACGACTTATTTGGATGTAAAAGAGTAAACAATTATTATAAATGTTCATCTAAGTGTTACCAAGCAAGAAAATTATTTAATATGTTTTATGTAATAATGAGTTTGACATTTTATTTCTGGGTATTTATTTTTGAAATTACATACATTGTAAATATATTAATAAAATAACATACAATGAAGTGAATACGATTCTCAACTTTATTAAAATACTGACCGATTGAATTTTTACAATCTTTAATGTTCTCTTCTTTATTGTCAATTAATTGTGACCGAAGGATTGCTCGATAATTTTAATTAATATCTCCAACATACACCAACAAAATCATAAACAGAATTTCAGTTATTTTTATTAGCTCCCTCGTCCCAGTATCCTCGATATAACAGAAATTTTATGTTTTAAAATTGAAATTTTACACACGTTATGAGGAACATCTAAAATTGTTCATAAAATCCATAAAACATAGACTTCCGTCGATTATTATAGTAAATATTATAGTAATAAGTAAAAATATAAATTTTTTTAAATTTTTTGTTCGTGTAATATGTAAAATGTTACATACTGACAAATACATTTCCTTAAGTATGAATGCATTTCCAAAAAAAGTATTTGTAACATCGAATGTTTGACGTGTTTTTAATTTATTGCAGTACAAATGAATTCTTTCGTATATGCAGTTTTATTTAATATATTAAATTGTAAGATAAGATTAAAAATTTGAAATTTTTTATTTAAATTTATTTTTTAAATTACACCAAGATTTTAAAGCCTTTGTAGCTCAATATTTTTTTTTAAATCGAATAAGAGAATAAAGTATTTTTATAAAAACAAAAAAAACAAAAACAAAAAACAAAAAAAAAACAAAAAAAAATCTACATTTCTTCTCAATGCACCAAAATCTTCATGCTTTTGGTCAATGCAATGAGATTATCTAAATATTTGTTAAAAATATTTTTTCAAGAAAATGCAATTCCACTTGACCATTGAAACATATATCGCGATATACGCGGCGTTCTATTTTTGAAAAAGGGAACACCTTGTACACCTTGTAACTATATGCTCGTCAGATAAAGGACACAAGTAAAGCGAACCCCATCTAATAACAATATATTTTCACTTTTTCTGCAGAATGTTTATACGTGGCCTGGCCGGAAAAGATCTGAAAATACGAAACGATAAGCAGGCGAGTTTCTCAAATCGTTAAATCACATCTATTAAGTTTTGTTTCGACGTCGATATGTGTTTTTAAGAGAATATGAATGTTCCTAAGTTCCTAAGAAAATAGATTTAAATAAATTAGATATTGCGTATATCATTAGGATAACTGAGGTGAATTGAAATTATATCACAACGACACAGAATATTTTAATGATAAAGCGCAACGTCCTTACAACGCATTGTAAGCGAAACAAATTTTCCAAAATATTACATTCTACATTAGTGATAGAGGCAGTATTGAAATAAAAATCTGAATTTATTTACATAGATAATTTAATGAAGTTTGTAAAACTCGACGCAACAAAAATGCTTATGATTGCATACATGTAAAATTTTTTTTGCTATTTTATCTACTTGCAAGTTGAAGCGTAACTATTAGAAAGATTAATAATAGGAAAAAATGCAAAAAATATTCGTGTAACAATCATCTTTTTACATTCTCACAAATTTCTAAAACTTCAAAGCGCTCTTACATTCTTAAATATAATCGGTACAAAGCAATCGGAGGAAGTAAAATTTCGCGACATCGGCGTAACGGATTTTCATTACTTTTTAGAACATTATTTTTGAAGTTCAGTGAAGCGAAGGACCGAACGCCAAAGTTGCTATAACATTCGAGAGCAACGTCCCCGTCCCCCCTTCCACCATAACACGTGTTTTATAATACGCACTATACTTTACAATATTTATTCATTTTCCTTGTTAATTAAATAAAGCAAACGAACATTTATTTTATAATTAGTGAAAAAAGACCAGCTGATATGACCAGACAAATCCATGTGTGTGGGTTTTCTTTATTTTGAAAAATTGTTCTATTTTATTTAATGTGTTTTCCTACCTTCTTTTACTTTTCTTTTGTGTGTGTGTGTGTGCGCGCGCGTGTGTATGTGTGTGTTACATTAATTTTTTTAATTTTTTTTTTAATGCAAAAATAGGTTAATTTACCTTGATGATTCTCATTCTCCGTTAAATCATCAGTATCAACATAATCATCATTAACATTAATATATTTATTATTAATATTATTATTATTATTATAAATATTATTATTATTATTATTATTATTATTATTATTATTATTATTATTATTATTGTTATTAGTATTAGTATTAGTATTAGTATTATTAGCGTTCTTATTGTTGTTGTTATTATTATTATTATTATTATTATTATCATTATTATTATTATTATTATTATTATTATTATTAATTCTTATTATTATAATTGTTATTGTTATTTTTATTGTTGTTATTTATGTTATTGTTATTATTATTAATAGTCGTTTGATGAAAGTTCCACGAGCAACTCTGACGCTGAGTCCTTTGTTTCATAATTTTATTTTGCCTATATATGTGTCAATTAATTGTTCACATTTATGATTAACCAAACGAATGACATCGATTATATCGCCTAAATGTTTTCCCATAATAGTAATAAGAATAATTATTACAAAAGATAGAAATCCTTCGTAGCGCTTGAATCTTACTTATGGGACGATTGCATGGATCGGTTGTTAATTAATAATTATCGATTGATTAATTTTCAAAAAAGAATATTGGACAAATACACTCTGTTGCAATATATTTGAATTATGCAGTATTGTTAAATTTCATTTAGTGCTATTTAATAAAATTTTATTTACTTTTCGTTTAATAATTGATGAGCTTAAGAAATAAATAGGATCCTGCAATCGCTCCTGAAATCCTCGCCCCCCCCCCCACTTTTTCCTCGCTAAACGCATCGTCGTCAAAGCGCGCGCGCGTATTCGTGAAAGTAAATTTTTTTATAGTTAATAGTTATCGATATGATGAATTCGATAAATTTATACATTATATTTTATAGCTTTTTTTACTTCAAATATAATCATCAGTTTAAACATTAACGTACGAATAATGGAAGACTTAGTAGTATGTCCAGGGACACTTTAAAAGGATTTTCTCGATTTTTTTTTTTCATTTTCTTGTCATCGCTTAGTTACGGCCCTTTCGTTTACAAGAAATTTTATTCTTTTCAATAAACCTCACTTTATCCCTGTTTTTCATCATCTTGTTTTCTCTCCTTAATCTTAAACAAAGAATAGCTTCACACGTTTTATAATAATAATAATTATTATTTTTTTTTTATTATCAACCGTTACATTCGGTCCCCTATTGTTTTATTTTTATAGTCCAATATACTATTAGCGGTTTCCCTATATTTTGTTCATTTTCTTCTCTCATTCATTTAATCTCAGACCTGAGAAGAGACACACGGGCTCAAGGTGAATTTGTATTTTTGTTTTTTTTTTGTTTTTTACCGTCGGTGACATTTTAATTAATTCTCGTTGTT